TAAATAGCATATTTGGGAAGAACTTTGTGCTATGAATGCACGTGGACACTCATAACTGAACAACAGAAGGTAAGCAACCCAGTGAAAAATGAGTGAATTGTGAACTTCCCCGCAAAGATGGACAGCTGACACATGAGCACTTGGAAAGACCTTCCACATCCCAAGCCATCAGGGACTGCATGATTCAATGACCACGAGGTACCACTGCACAGTTAGAATGGCTGGAACCCAGAACACAGCATACCAGGTCCTGGCAAAGACAGAGCAAAACGGTGTTCACTCCTGGGCGGGGCGGCAAAAGGCTCAACCACCTGCAGACGTCTTAGTAGTGAACACACTCCTCTGAGAGGGAACACACTCCTCCGACAGAACACAGTCCTGAGAGTGGAGACACTGCTTCTTCGACAGTGAGCACAATCTTCTGACCGTGAACACACTCCTGAGACAGTGAGCGCATGTTTGCACCCACCTTTCTCAGGACCCCAACCCAATCGGCCCTGTCATCATCAGCCCCAGCACAGCCGCCCTGCCCCTCAGGGCTTCTGACACCCTCAGGATGTGTGTGTTCACACTGTGTGTCTCAGACAGCAATAAACAGCCGGGCCCTCAGACCTCAGACTGCTCAGCTCCACGCAGGCGGTGCTGGCGGACGTGTCTGCAGCCAGCGTGACTCTGCCCTGGAACTTCTGTGCATTCTTTGTCCACCAGCCTCGGGGTCAATCCGTCCACCCACTCAAGCCCGTGCTGAGGGGCCTGTCACACCCAGTGCGTGTCGTGGGCGCTGAAGGGGGATCCGGAAGCCGTGCAGGACACCCTCACTGATGCCCCGGGCTTCCTCGGCTCAGCCCCGACCGCACCAGCTGCACCTGGGTGTGCACAGCCGTGGACCGGGGTCAGAGGGGCATGAACCCCCTGACTGGACCCTGTCCCTTCCTCCACCCCAGACCGGGATGACCCTGACCTGGAGCCAAGGCCCCAGGAGGAGGACTCTCCAGCTCCCGTCCCTGGTGAGGGCTGTGCTCCCAGGACTGCTGTGCAGAGTCGGTGTTGTTGTGGGTGATGTTCTCAGGGCTCAGAATATCCCACTTTAACCTAGGACACCTCAGGTCATCTGCATGTTCTAGAGGCTGAAAACTTTACACTCACTGCACGGGCAATATTAGGAAGGAGTAGTCCTATGACCCATGACCACGCTCAGTGGGAATTTGTGTGTCCGCGTCCTCACCCTTGTTTGAGGACGTGTGTCCCTGCCATGGCCCTGACCCCTGTGCACTCAGAGCTCTTGCAGTGAGGGACCAGCCGCACAGGACACAGTCCTCACCGTGAACCAGCCTTTAATGTCACAGAGACATCTTCACCTCTAATCCGTGTGTTCCCCAAACTCTGCCACCACTGGGTACTCACACGCACACACACACACACACAGTCACCTGTCACACAGACATAGAGACACACACACACTTTCACACTCACACATACACACACAAACCCAATCAGACACATTCACACACTCAGATGCACGCATACACACACTCATGCTTACACACACACTCACATGCACACTCACACACACACATACACACCCACACATCACATGCACACTCACATACACTCACACACACACACACACAGTCACCTGTCACACAGACATACAGACACACACACTTTCACACTCACACATACACACACAAACCCAATCAGACACATTCACACACTCAGATGCACGGATACACACACTCATGCTTACACACACACTCACATGCACACTCACACACACACATACACACCCACACATCACATGCACACTCACACACACACATACACACCCACACATCACATGCACACTCACATACACTCACACACACACACACACATACACACACATACTTCCCGTGGCCTCGCTGAGCTGTGTATTCTCATCAGGACCCAATATTAAACGTCACCAGTCCTCGTCCTGCTAGCTATTGTTTTCCGTGAAAAGAGAAGACTCCGTCTCTGAGTCTCCCCAGCCCCCTCCCCACATGCTCCTGGGCAGCAGCCCTGCGCTGGGATCCTGGGCACCCCCTGCCTGGGCTCACAGGCAGTCCTAGCAGTGTTTCTAGCCTGGTAGGAAATGGCTGTGATCTACCGTCAGAGTATTCTTCTAGAGACAGCATGATCTTTTAATCATCTCTAGAAATAGCCTCTATCAATGCACACTCTCTGGAGAGAGACCCAAGGAAGAAACTTATGAGAACACCTGGACGTCGCCTCCCTGGGGCTGCAGCTGCACTGAGGCAGCTGACACTCACAGTGAGTCCGGAGGCTCTCGAGGACTTGGGGTCCCTTCACCTCCTGGACCCCCCGGGGGCTAACGTTGTGCCACACGATAGCTGCACGCAGAAGCATGGGGCTTGATGCCCACTCCACCTACCGTTCAACCCCTGGGTTCCCCTGTTCTTGCAGCACCTGGACCCTGCAGGGGCCCCATAAGAAGGTGCCGGACTAGCCCCCATGTCAGAAACTAGTGCAGTTGCCCCCTGACAACTCACAGCACAAACGCCTGAGGGTCTCTAGTGCCCACACCTGTGAGAGAGGAGACACCTGAAGTCAGAGGAGGATGAGGCAGCGCCCTTGTCAGCTGACTCAGGAGATGCTGCCCTGAGGGAATGCTCACCCGGGGGACGGGGGGCGTTGAGCATGCTCAGGCACCTCAGTCGTGTCTGACCCTTTGAGACCCCACGGACTGTAGCCCACCAGACTCCTCTGTCCATGGGATTCTCCAGGCAGGAACACTGGAGTGGGTTGCCACAACAGCACCCTGCAGAGAAGCTAGGTCAGCAGTGTGCATGTCCCCTGGCAGGACATCTCTTCACCAGGACGGCCTCGGGGTGCATCCATCCTCAGACTCCATCCTGCTTCTCACCATCCATCCTGACCACCTGCCCAAGGACCTCAGGACCTGGCATCAGTGGGGAGACAGACCCGCTGCTGAGTCAGCCACATGTCCTCCTGCAGGACCCTGTGACAAACCCGCTTCTTCCCCCTGTTCTGAGTCTCTGATGGAAACTTCATAAATATTCCTGAGCATGTCAGATACCCAAGAACAGGAGAGGGATTTTGACCAAGTTGATCAGGCAGGAGAGAGAGGGTGTCTGAGGCCAGCAGTGAGGTGCTCGAAGCCTGGTCTCTAGCCATGGGTACCAGAGCCTCAGCACCCTGCCTCCTGGATGTTGTTTGGCTGTGGTCTCTGCACACTAGCTCCCCTCCTCAAAGAGGCTGCACATCATAGCTCTGCCAGGTCCCTGGGGGTCACATGTGGGTAGGGGCTTCCTGCATTGTTGAGGTTGAACACCCACGACTCAAGGGAGGTGAGTCTGGGCTGTGAGCATCTCCAGGGTCTCCAGTATTGGCCCATCCCCGCTTACCTCCTCCCGGCCTGCACTGCACCGGTCCAGTCCCTTCTCCTAGCTGTGAGGTCTGCCCCCTCTGTAGGCCTGCAGTAGACAAGAACTTCTGTTCACCTCCTAGGAGAAGCTGGGGGAAGAGCTCTTCCCTGGAGGGTCTGCCTGATGCACCTTCTGGGTAGGTGTTAGCATTTCTCAGCATTGGCCTTCCCCTCGTCCATCAGGTGTCCTGAAGGGTTAAATATGAACACTCACCTTGAGGACCTGGATGTTTCTGGAGTTATATCCCAAAAGCCATGGAGTGTGACCCCTGGATCTCTCATCCTCACAGTGGTTATTGCTGGTCCTGCAGGAACTGGTAGGAATTACCCTGAAGGTGTGCCTCCTGAAGCTTCACATCCGTGGGCCGGTCCCACCTGGACTGTGGATTGCCCACCTCTCTGGTTTTGTTTTGGGAGATTCCCTTGAAATGTCAGGATTGTGTTCGGTCCAGGGAAAGTTTTGGTGTTGAGAATTCCCTTGCTTTAAGGATGGACATGACAGGTTTCACACACACTACCTCTTGATGCAAAAACCAGCAGGTACCAGCTGAGGCTGTCCTTGAATTGTGAGTAGAAGGAGAAATCGGATGTCACTGCGCGTGAGAGGAGCCTGGACAGCCTTGACTAACACGAGAGACAGGGGCGAAGGGCACAGCAGGGCGCTTACACTTAGGCTCAGGCTCCAAAGCTCTGCCAAGAGGCTGGAATGCAGAAAGCACCACGGTGAGGAGATTGTCACGCCCCCGGTGACCCAGTGCTAGCCAGAAGGCAGGACAACACATCTTATTACTGGTTCCTGAGGTAATTTCAGAGGAGCCGTTCCCCTCCTCCCCGCCCCTTTCCACGTCTGCATGTGGCCTTGGAACCAGATCCAAGGGCAGGTCCCCCGTTCTGAGCCCAGAGTCTCCGTCCCGACGGCCCCCTGCCCCTCCCACCTCAGCTCGGCTGCTCGTCCTCTCAGGCCGTGGGTCTCCCTCAGGGCTGAGCCCAGCACAGCTGCGGCTTCCTCACTCTGCACCAGTGACGGCCACTGTGGCGGGAGTGAGCACAGGGGGTGGTGGGCTCCATGCTGACCCCACGGGCAAATCCTCCTGAACACCTCTCTATTTCCCCTTATGACTGATCCAGACAGAAGCCCAGAATGGGGTGTGGACTTCAGGTAGGTAACAGTTTTGAAATGAACGTCAGAGTCAAGTGTTTTACTGAGCTCCTTAGAAAGAAGAACAACGAAGGAGAAAACAATTTAGCTGTTGACTATTATGTCTGTGTGTCTGTGTGTGTGTGTCTGCATAAAGCTATCCTTACTTCAAGGAGAAATTAAAACATACACACACACACAGTTGTCTGAGAGTGACATAAACCATAGCGATGGAATCTCAGGACACATGAGAGGGTCTGCGGCTTAGCTGCTGGGCGGGAGCAGTAAAGAACAGGTTCTGAAGGGAATCCCCTCCAGGCCGGCCAGCCCCCAACGCCTCTTCTCCCCGGCTCCGGGGCTCAGCTTTCTCCCGAGTCCCGGGCGCCCCCTGGTGGTCCGGGGCGCCCATGCAGCGAGGTTTGTGTCCGGGCTCACTCTGACTTGCCCTCACTGTGTCTCTTGCACAGTAATACACGGCCGTGTCCTCAGGTGTCACGCTGCTCAGTGAGAGGGAGACTTGGCTCCTGGAGGTGTCCCTGGTGATGCTGAGCCGGGATTTCAGGGCTGGGTTATAGCCTGTGCTTCCACCACTATATATGATACCAACCCACTCCAGCGCCTTCCCTGGAGCCTGGCGGACCCAGTGTACAGCATAGCTGCTTACTGAGAATCCAGAGACAGCGCAGGTGAGGGAGAGGGTCTGTGAGGCCTTCACCAGGCTGGGTCCCGACTCCTGCAGCTGCACCTGGGACAGGACGCCTGTGGACAGAGAGAAGCACGGTGACTCACGGGCTCAGATGCAGCTTCCCCACGTGCCCATGTCTGATCCAGAGACACTCACCGCTGGGAGCTGACAGCAGGAAGACGAAGGTCCACAGTGGGCTCATCTTCGAGCAGATGAGAGTCACCGCTCCCGGAAATCTCTTCAAGCCTGAGGAGGAGCCTGAATTTAAGTGACCTGGTGCTGTGTTTCCACCCTGTGACCTGAGCGGATCTTTGCATGTGGGAGGGGCCTCTGTATAAAAAGAAGACAGTAGTGAATGGATGTCCCTGTCTCTGGGGCTCCCCCTGTGAAAGGGGGTGCTGACTGTGCCCTCAGAGAACTCAGCCGCCCCTGGGGCCCCCCTCCCCTTACCTGGGGTCTTCTGTGTCCAGAAATGAAAGGATGTGGAAGGGCTGGTCAGGAAAAAAGATGTGGTCAAATATCAAGCATAGGTTTTGGGAAGAGAGTAATTGCATGGAGGTTCATCTTTTGTCAAATACACACTGCAGATTCAAGGTCTACGTAGTTGTCAGAACTCTCATTTATCGTTCTTTTCTGCACTGGCTTATGTTCATGAACAGGATATTAAAACATTGGAGTGAAAATGTATGTGATAATTGCATTTAATTCAAAGAAAACTCAGTACTATTTAAATTTTATCAAAACTCAAAAATATTTTATTATTTCCCTTAGCTGGTGAGACCATTTCTTCATCTGAACAGTTTAAAATCAAGAGCTGCTCTGGAGGTGGTGTTGTTCATATGTACTAACCCTGCAGTTAATTTTGTGGACAAACTAGTCATTTCTGCTGAGAAGCTCATCTTCCCAGGATGGCTGACTTGCCCAGTGGGCTGTCCCACAGTATCCTGTCCACAACTGAGTGTCTGCAGGAGCCTGTGAACCTCAGGACCCCCAGCCTGAGTGTGGACACTGAGGACCCCAAGGCTACTGCAGACTGAGGACAGACAGCGCCCGGGAGCTCCTAGTGCTCTGACGTGCTGGGCAGGTGTCCTGGTCACTCTGCACAGACTCCCTCCTCCTCCAAGTGCTTATTTCTTCCTCTCTGTGTCCCGGCCGTGAGATGGGAGCTCAGGGAACATAGTCCCCACCACAGTGGTGAGAGGACACGCATGGTTCGTGGAGGTAAACCTTCACAGTGAACGGCGTGCAGTGTGAGGGCGGCATGGTCAGAGGAAAGCCCCTCCTCAGGAAGCAGGTTCCCTTGAAAACCCCACTGAGAGCAGCTTTCCCGAGCCCAGGGGCTCCGTGTCCTGGACTGAGCCTGAGGTCCTCTGAGTCAGCAGTGCTGGAGAGCAGAGCACAGCTCCCCCGTCTCCCTGTGGCCCTGAGGCTGTGGCCTCGCGCCTGCATCCCGGCTGTGAGCATGGAGACTGGGGATGACGGCCGTCACGGTGCGTCTGGACTTTAGGTGGGCTTTCCGTGGGTGGTGAGTGCTGCCATCAGTGGTGCTATCTCTCCTGGAACCAGGAACTACCACCGTCTCTCCACATCTCTGACTAACACCCTGTATAGGCAACCCATTCCACTCTGGCCCTGAGATATCACCCATGTGGGTCTGGAGCAGGTCAGCTCTCCCTAAACCCAAAGTTCTCACCTGTACACTGACTGGGTTACAACCTGTTGAATATGAAACACCCTTTCTAGTCAGGGTTTTGCTATTGCTGTTTTGCACCAGGACAACTTCTGTGCCTGATCCTGTTTCCTGCCACCTGATCTTGCTTTTGGGAGTGGGTTCACCTAACTGGGTCTGTGATCTTTGTGGGGGTCAGGCCTCCAAGAGGTTTGAGATTTGTCTGATATATGGCAAGGGGGAGACTCTTGAGGATGATTACAGGATGGTGGGCCTCTGGTCTCCAGGTCACTGAGCTTCTGATGTGTCCTCATTTCTTGGCTAAACACCTTCTTCCATCTTCAGAGTCAGTCTTCAGGTGTCTTGTGTTGCATCACCCTAACAGGCATTCCTAACTCAAGCTTCAATTTCTAAGAATCCTGTAACTGCATTGGGCCTTCCTGAATAATCCAGTAAACTTTTCCATCTCAAGAGGCTGAAGGACTCTAGATTGCATTCCCAAACCCATTGCAGTCTGTCAACTATGGGCTTGTTATGTTTAAGGCATTAGAAGGAGAGTGCCGAAATAATGGAGAAGACTCTCGAGAGTCCCTTGGACTTCAAGGAGAGCAAATCAGTCAATCCTAAAGGAAATCAACACCTAATATTCTTTGGAGACCCTTATTCTGGGAAAGACTGAAGGCAGGAATAGAAGGGGTCAGGATGGAATGGGGTGCCTGACAGATGATGGGATGGTGGGATGGCATCACCAGCTCAATGGACATGAGTTTGAGCAATCTCCGGAGCTGGTGATAGACAGACAGTCTGGTGTGGTGCAGTCCCTGGGGTTGCAAAGAGTCGGGCATGACTGAATGACTTAACTGACCTGAACCGAGAGAACATTCCATTAAAAATGGAAGAATACTCAAAAAGTGCACTCAAATCATTGTCCAGTGTAGACGACATCTTGGGTAAATCAAACTTCAGTGAATTTAAGAAAACTGAAGCTTTATTGAACAACTTTTTCTACCACAATGATATGAGATTAGATCAGTTACAGAGAAAAAAAAATAAACAAACACAGGGAGGCTAAAAAATATGCCACTAAATAATCAATGATGGGCACAATAAAGGACAGAAATGGTACGGACCTAAAAGAAGCAGAAGATATTAAGAAGAGGTGACAAGAATACACAGAAGAACTAAGCAAAAATTATCTTAATGAGATGGATAACCTCGATAGTGTGATCACTCACCTAGAACCAGATATCCTAGATGGCAAAGTCAAGTGGGCCTTAGGAAGCATCACTACAAACAAAGCTAGTGGAGGTGATGCAATTCCCCACTAAACTATTTCAAATTCTAAAAGATGATGCTGTTAAAGAGCTGCACTCCATATGTCAGCCAATTTGGAAAATTCAGCAGTGACCACAGGACTGGGAAAGGTAAATTTTCATTCCAATCCCAAAGAAAGGCAATGCCAAAGATTGTTTGAACTATCACACAATTGCACTCATTTCACATGTGAACAAGGTAATACTCAAAATCCTTTAAACTAGTCTTCAAGAGTATGTGAACAGAGAACTTCAGATATACGAGCTGGGTTAAGCAAAGACAGAGGAACCAGAGATCAAATTGCCAACATGTATTGGATCATAGAAAAAGCAAGGGAATTCCAGGAAAACATCTACTTCTGCTTCATTGACTATGTTAACTCTTTGACAGTGTGGATCACAAGAAACTGTGGAAAATTCTTTAAGAGATGGGAATACCAGACAATTTACCTGCCTACTGCGAAACCTGTATGCAGGTCAAGAGGCAACAGAATTTTACATGGAACAACAGATTGGTCCAAAATTGGGTAAAGAGTATGTGAAGGTGTCACTCTGCTTTTTTAACTCATACAGAATACATCATGCAAAATGCCAGGCTGGACGAAGCATAAGCTGGAATCAAAACTACTAGAAAAAAGGTCAATAAGTTCAGATATGCAGGTGACATTTCCCCCTATGGCAGAAAATGAAAAGGAACTAAAGAGCCTCTTGATGAAGGTGAAAGAGGTGAGTGAAAAAATTGGCTTAAAAACTCAACATTCAAAAAATTAAATTTGCGACATTGAGTCCAGTGATCCTTCATAGCAGATAGGTTAGGAAACAAAGGAAACAGTGACAGAATTTATTTTCTTGGGCTCTAAAATCACTGCAGGTGGTGACTGCAACCATGAAATTAAAAGATACTTGCTCCTTAAAAAAAAAAAAAAACTATGACAGCATATTAAAAGCAGAGACATTACTTTGCTGACAAAGGTCTGTCTAGTTAAAGCTATTGTTTTTCCAGTAGTCATGTATGGATGTGAGAGTTGGACCATAAAGAAGGCTGAGCACCAAAGAATTGATGCTTTTGAACTGTGGTACTGGAGAAGACTCCTGAGAGTCCCTTGGACAGCAAGGAGATCAAACCAGTAAATCCTAAAGGAAATCAACCCTAAATATTCATTAGATAGACTGATGTTGAGCTGAAACTCCAATATTTTGGTCTCCTGATGTGAAGACTGACTCATTAGAGAAGACTCTGATGCTGGGAAAGATAGGAGGCAGGAGGAGAAAGGGACAACAGAGGACACAATGATTGATTGTCATCTATGACTCAATGTATATGAGCTTGAGCAAGCTCCTGGAGATGGTGAAGGACAGGGAAGGGAAGTCTGTCGAGCTACAGTCCATGGAGCTGCAAAGAGTCAGATACAACTGAGTGACTGAAAGACAATATAACCAAGACTTCTCTTAAGAACTCAGAAAGGAAATCAAAATATACCTAGAAACAAATAATAATGAAAACCTGATGACCCCTAGCCTGTTGGTTTTGAGACAGACGACATTAAATCTTTTAGACTACTTTGGGTATTAGAGTCATTTTTAAAATGTTGATTCTTCCAGTCCAAGAATGGTATATCTCTCCATTGATTTGTGTCACCTTTGATTTCTTTCATCACTGTTGTATAGCTTTCTGAGTACAGGTCTTTTGTTTTCTTAGGCGTTTTATTCCTAGGTATTTCATTCTATTTGTGATCATGATAAGTGGAATTGCATCCTTAATTTCTCGTTTTGATTTTGTTGTTAGTGTATGAAAATGCCAGAGATTTCTGTGCATTAACTTTGCACCCTGCCATTTTACCATTTCATTAATTAGCTGCAGTAGTTTTTGGTGGCATATTTAGGATTTTCTATGTATATTGTCATATCATCTGCAAACAGTGATGGTTTTCTTTCTTTTAAAATTTTGATTCCTTTTGTTTCTTTTTCTTTAATAATTGCCATACCAATACTTCCAAAACTGTGTTGAATAATAGTGGCATAATTGGACATCCTTCTCTTGTTGAACAATAGTGGCAAAAGTGGGCATTGCCCTGTCTTGATCCTGATCTTA